TCACCTTGCGATCCGTCACATGCTGGTGCTGCTTATACTGGAACCACCATGAAGCCATTTCTCGATGGCACATTTTGCACCGCCAATAATCACTTATTTTCTCTCTAAATTATGCATAATCTATGATACAGTTGGTAAGCACAACTACGAGAATTCAAGAAAACACAATCTACTTTTTATTGAGATTCTGCTATGAAATCTACCAAAGGCTTTATTGTCCCCTGCTGTTTGTGTCTTGAGTTTGCTTGTTGAGACATGATTCTGCCTCTTCTTTTCCTTTTGTCATTTTCTGCTTTTGGGATGGCTTCTTCAATGAGGTTCCACCAAGTTCAGGTAACTCGTCCTCTTCGTTCAAATTTACTACGTCTATTACATGCATAGTTTGTATTATTAGATCAGAGTGGACCGTTTAATTGACAAGATTTTAGTTTCAAAACAAGTGAGATTAAGATTTGAATGATTAATCAGCTATTCATTTTCAGTTATTCTCTTTATTCCCGATGAGTTAACACTTAACATTGTTGATCCATAGGTAGTAACACCAATAATCAACATACGGATTTGATTGGTTGGACTAAACAATATAATATACAACACTTATAAATTTCTTTTCTTATTGCATACTACCTAGTACCATCTAATTTACCTTATCAAACATATCATAAACGTACTTCGATACTGTAAGAATTTGCATATGAAAGACCTGTCTTTACCAAAGAAACTTTGGGGGAAGGGGGAAGGGGGGAGGTTGTCTCTCAGAACTAAGTTATGAAAACCTGTGAACCTTCAAGGCCATTTGGTGAATTCAAATACTTTGAAGACAATGTCAATTCCGGTGGGAATCTGCCAAATGAAGAGGATTACATTTAAGGCATTCAATGCAATGTGAAGGTTTCTAGCTGTTTCATTTCCCTTTTGCATTGAAGGGACTAGTGCTGCAGCTGCTGCCCATAGAACTGTAATAGCTGTTTAATGAAATAAAACAAAAAACTCAGCTCTTTTAACCTACAATGCATACTTATGAAATGTTGCAGAAACATATAATCATGATTGCAACTGTTAGACCATGTCTAAAAGCTTAAACAGTAAGGGGCTAAATGTCTGGCAAGTACACAAATTTCATAAACGGGGCAACAGTACAAAGACTTTTACACCATCTCATCTAAAAGTTAGAGGGGACAAATTTCGCTTATTTGAATTGTCAGAAATAAGCTCAAATCCATTTATGGCTTGTTTCGTATGGTGAAGAGTGGAAACTCGACATTATTAAGAAAGAAAATAAGTTAAATCTTATACATCCGATTATCGAATCATATCCAATATTGTATAATGAAAGGCTCTTAGAATACGAACCATATGTAGCCACACTGTATTATAATATGGAAAGGAAAATTTGTCCTGCTGCTAATTACCTGCCCCTGCAAATAAATGAGGTCCTGGGAATAGCTTTCCTGTCCTGAACCATGTGTTGACCCCTCCAAATACGGCTTCAAAAACCCCAAATCCCAGCAATATGGAGCCAGCATTGAAGTGTCTATCCCTAAACGACCCTTTGATCAATTCCTTTCTTTCCTGAATATATGGAGAAAAAAGCAATAGTTGTTTTGGGATTACAATGTAACTCGTTTAACCTTATTTTGTAGTAATGGAATGTCTGCTATGTTAGACTCAGTTCCGAACGTGATTCAACATGATTAAGCACAAAAAATTCATCAGGTTCAATCCATCTAGAATTTCATTGTTAGGCACCACGAATCTTTCCAGACAAGGATAACCACTAAACAATTAGCCATACGACATGATTAAGGAAGAGAGGCATATGACCAATATCGCATGCACTTTGACATACCAAACATGCCATCAGAGCCCATTAACACTTTAACCGTAGATCCTTACACAAGTTCATGGTCTATTCCTATAACGCAACTACTTCCTTAATGCTTGTAGAACATGGATTCTTATCGAATTTTCTCATGTATAAACAAATATTGCACATGCCTAGGCAAACTCTCTCAACAACAGAAGCAAACCCTTAACCCAACAAATTTAAGATGATTGAAGAATCATTTTTTGACATTTCATTTACTACATCCTCCATTCTTCTCATGATATAAGATAAAACTGTTTACACTTCTTGGAGGGGACAAAACGGAATGCATAACATTGTTAGTCTTAAGGTTTAAATGGGTACCTCAGTGAGTAGCTGAATCTTGGCTTCAACAGGTGATGACTTAGGCGGTTCAGCAGGTGGGGTACCATCTGGGGTGACTGCAACTGGCTTCACTTGCTTCTTGAGCTCATTAATTTCATCTTGTATGGTGCGAACTCGCCTCCATTGCCAACCAAGATAACCAGCATACAATGTGTACAAGAACAAGCCACTCATAACAATGGGATGAATCAGAGCAAATGATCTTCCTTCAAGAATCCCAAATTCCCCTCCAACAGCAAGTGCATTCTGTTACACCATACAATAAACAAGAAAAATTTCTCAGCCAATGGAACATCAAAAAGGGACTAATTTCTGGTTGAATATATTTTAATTTTTCCTTCAACACGCCCCTCACGTGCAAGTAAGATTCATTGTTTTATTCAAGCCTTGTTGCCACTCATTTGGAGAAAATTGTGCACTAGTTGACCCTTTGATGAAAAAATGAATCTTTCTTGCACGCAAAGGGGCATATTGACGTGTTTAAACTTTTAGACAATGTGGTTCATATATTCCGATCAAAATGAAGGACATGCCTCGGTGTCTAGAAAGAAAGGCACTGTGATTGCTGCGAGAGGAAGAGAAGCTGATTTTAGGTGGTGTAAGGTTTCATTAATGAGTTTTTGTGGGGTTTTTTCTAATTTTACTTTGTTGTTGGCAATGCAAAGTTTAGTACTGAATTGTTGGGTTTTTGGTGGAATAATTGGAAGTTTTAGGAGGCTGAGTGTGGCTGCCATGGATCCCTATCCCTCTCAACACACGCTAGCCTGGTGCATACAGAAAGCAGGAGAATTTGAAAGACAAGTTACAGAGAGTGTGGGAGACGCAACAGGTATTGTTGGAAAAAGATAAGATATGGACTAGTTTTTGTGTCCACACAAAAGGAGTCCTACTTGTTGATGCCTCATTTGATCCTTTTTAGTTTAAAAAAAAAAAAAAATTCCAAACCGGGGGTTCAACGTGTACTAGAATTTAAAATTTTTGAAATGGAGTCTTGTTGCTATCTATGTGCTAGATCTTTTATGAAAAATGAATTTGGCCTACACAGATCAGAAATGCGTTGATAATAAATTTCATTTTTCCTTTGATATGAAAAAAGTAAAATGGTCGAAGCATCAAATTTTGTGATGATAAAAAATTGGTCTTCTAACTTTTATATTTATCAATTTAGTCCTCTTACTTTTTAACAAGTTGAAGTTGGTCCCTCGACCTTTGACTTCATCCATTTTAGTTCTTTAACTTCTAAAGATGTACAACTTGGTTCCATTCCAAGTTTTTGTACACCTTTAGCCCCTACGGAAGTAGCACGGCAATGTGCATGACTTCCAACGAACTCAATGAAGTGTTTTCACTTCCAAAAGAATATCTAAATGAGATAGAGAGAGAATGAGATTCAAAACAGGAGTTTTTCTCTTGCATTCTTTGGCTTCTTACAATTTTTGGACCGATGTCCTACCCTGCCGCAATTTTAAGGAGTTTTTGAAGAATCGGGACAGTCTTGCGTCAACCATTTTGTAATAGAAATACGATCAACAATGAATTTCTTCATATCGGCATATTCAATTTTGTACTTGGTGTCCAAAGATTCTCACAATTCTTTCTCAAACTTCGCATTGCATTAATGTATTGTCCAATCCGTTAAGTAAATAATTTCTGCATAGAAAATTAGAATGCTTCCATGCATCAATTGTAGCCAATTTTACATCACTTTCTTCCTCAATGTATGAAAATATATTTTCTTTGAGAAATTTTGCCAAACTTAATGTCGGTAGATAAAAAAATATTTTCTGTTGTCAACGTTTAAAATCTGATCTATTAAATGTATCTGATTTTTCTTCAGTAGTAGTGAGAAGTGTAGTACCAGAAGTTGCCATTCCGACACATAATCAGAATATAAAATAGTAAGAAGGGGTAAAAACAGAATAAACTAGAATAAAATCAAATTCATTTTAAGATTGTTGTTATTTCTAGAGTATAAATCCTCATTTGAACAATTTGAATATATTACATCGACAAAATTACCGTATTATAACTTGCACAGCTTAACGGGATTATCAACTAGATTAGAATGTTAATTCGAGCCCATCAACTTCACGATATTTCCTTAAAACGAATTTGCTACTTTCAAATGTGTTAAAGACGTTCAGGAATCGTTTGTCGGGATAGAACAAATCTCATCTCATAAGGAAATAGAACAACAATATGCAAGAGTTCAACAAACTCAATGAAGTGAACGAGAGATAAAAAATGAGATTCAAAGCAGAGAATGTTTGTAATGAAAATGGTGTAATTATTCTGACAGTATGGTAGGTTATTTATAAATTCATTCTTGGCCATTCGAACATTGTTTAAACCTTTTCAGAATAGTCGTCATTGTTCAAGCGCCTCCAAACTCAAATAGACACACTGTTTAGTATAAAACATTGCGTTTGTTAAGTCGGTTAACAGAAGTCTATTACGTCGTCACGAACGTCTGTTACGCCAATCCAAATCCAGGCCAAAACCCGAAATAAGACAATCAAAATTAATTTCAATAAGTACCTAAGAATTTGATTAATTACAATTTGACCCAAACAATTAAATAAATTTTGTTTATAATGTTAATATAGTATTAGGACACATGCGCACTTGAAGCGAACCAGACACAAGCACCTGCTCATGCTGAGCAGAGTCTATTGGACAGACGGATGCGACGACGCACGTGCAAGTGTGTAGACTTAGGACCGAACCTAATAGGATATATATTTCTCCCCTTTCAAAGACTATGGCACCCCTTATGGTCGAAACCCAATTTCCAAACTTCCACCATATATAAATTACGCCAAAGTTTCCTAACTTTTTTATTTGGGATAAGTGTTTGACAGTTTTCAATAAATCAAAATTTTCACTAGTTTAAAGTTTCAAGTTGTTTACCGTGACATCAAATATTTCATTGAATTCTAAATGGTTTTCAATAAATAAATATATCACGTTTATCATCTTGCGGATTAGAACTTGAATGTGTTTGGTCTCGTTAAAATCGAATCCCACTAAAATTAGAAAGAAACCATCGTCATAAACCAATATGCGCTAACTAAAACAAAATGAAAAATAAAAATGTGATTAAAAAAAGTGAGAGAATATATAAACTTCGTTGATAATATAACTAACAGTTTGACATTGCTGATAATTTGTCTTCAACAAGAAACCTACCCCATTCACGCCATAGTTTACCAACGCACATCTAATATCTATACCTATAAAAATTATATATATATATATCTGTCTGTGTCAGTATATGTATTTAAGTTTCTGGCTGGAAAGTTATGGAAATGAGTGGAATGAGAGTGACGTAGAATTAATTCATAGTAGGCCAATCTCCACAACAAAATTTTAAAAAGAAAAATCTGATTATAATTGCCTCAAACCCTTAACTTTTACTTCATACTTCCATCTCCATTCAAAACCCAAAAAAATTCAGTGAAATTTCTTTTGTTTATGCCCATGTTTGTTGTTAATTTGTTCTTGATAATTTTCTTGATTATATGCCTATTATTTCTCGTTCGATTATTATTGCATCGAACTGCTTTAATTTATGTTTTGAGAAAGTGGGTTGAACGGATTGATGATCAAATTCATGTTCATCAGCAATTTAGGGTCCCGGAGTTGAATGAAAGCGGCCAAGAAAATCAGCTATACCGGAAAGTTCAGCTATATGTAAATTCATTGGCTTCAGTTGAAGATTCCGATTATACGAACTTGTTCTCCAGCGAGGAGTCGAACGACATTGTTTTGGCACTGGAGGATGATCAGATAATCCGGGACACTTTTCTCGGAGCTCGAGTTATGTGGGTGAGAATTGATCGAAGTTTTGTGTTGAAGATTAAGAAAAAGGATAAGAGGAGAATTTTGAAGCCTTATCTTCAACATATTCATACAATTTCTAATGATATTGAACAGAGAGGAAAGATATTGAAGCTGCACATGAACACTAATGGAAAATGGAGATCTATTCAATTCAATCATCCTTCAACTTTCGACACGATTGTTGTTCACCTGGATTTGAAAAACAAGATTAAATCCGATTTGGAAAATTTTGTTAATTCGAAGCAGTATTATCACAAGCTTGGCCGTGTTTGGCGGCGGAGCTATCTTCTTTACGGCCCCTCGGGCACCGGAAAATCCAGTTTCATTGCAGCCATAGCAAATTTTCTCTCGTATGATGTTTATAACTTCGATTTATCACAAATTGAAGATGATGATAATCTTAATTTGCTACTATTGCAAACGAAGTGTAAATCTTTGATTGTTGTCGAAGATTTGGATTGTTACATTTCAGAGAAATCGAGAACTGGGATTTCTTCATCTGGGCTGTTGAATTTCATGGATGGGATTTTGTGTTCGAGTTGTTGTGATGAGAGGATTATGATTTTTACGATGAACAGTAAGGGAGGGATTGATTTTGATTTGTTGAGGCCTGGGAGGATTGATGTTCATATTTATTTTCCTCTTTGTGATTTCAATTCATTCAAAGGATTGGCCAGCAATTATTTAGGGGTCAAGGAGCATAAATTGTTCCAACAAGTGGAGGAGATTTTTCAGGGCGGCGCTACCATGAGCCCGGCGGAGATCGGTGAGTTGATGCTGGTGAATCGCAGCTCTCCCAGCCGGGCTTTGAAGTCAGTAATCACGGCGTTGCAAGCTAATGGTGGCGGCGGAAAGGCGGCAATGCGGTTGAGGGATAGTGCAGAGTCATCTCCAGCGCCTTCATCCGCGACAGAGGATGGTGGTGGCGCCGCCTGGAAGGGCACCGTGCCTAAGGAGTTTCGGAAGCTATATGGAATGCTGCGGTTGAGGAGCTGCAATAGACCAGAATCGTTAGATCATGAATCCGACATGATCGAACGGTGATGATATCACGTGGTTTTTTTATTTTTCTTTATATTATTTCAAGTTTATAATAATCTGTAATATTATATTACCAGATTTCATTTTTAGTGATTTTCTTTTTCACGTATTTCAAAAAACATAATATATCTATGGTCTAGATAAAAGGTGACTAGGGATGCACACGATTTGGTTCAACTTAATTTCGTAAAGAAGCGTACCAAATCTTGAATCTTTGTAATTATAGAACCATTCAATAATAATAATAATAATCATAAACGATTGGATCAAACACTTCGCCCCTGTTTGGGGCACGTTTTTAATCCAAAAAAATGAAAAATATAACCGTTTGAAATGAAAAGGCATCCACTGTTTTTGACATTCATCTCATAGGTGGGACCCCAATTTGACAATTAACAGTCATATTTTTTCTTCAAATGAACTGAAAATGTGCTACAAACGGGAGCTTCAATTCATTTTGGATTTTATTTCCAAGTGCTATAATTAATGTTGAACGAAACTAGTTGGTTCCTTTTTAATATCTGGGGTCACGTAGAATTTAAATTGAATTAACTGATTAATTCTGTAAATACTTTGTGGACATATAATTTCAACCTATTCAATAAAGATATTTGTACAAAGTTGAGTAACAAAAGTTGGGCTACAAAGTGTGTTGGCAAAATTCAGACCGTTGATTTCAAATGATTTAAAAATCTGTTTTTAAAATGATTGGTGTAGAAGATCAGAAACACGAAATTCAAGTTGACTCGGAAAAAAAGTGTAAAGCTGACTCACTTTTGGGTTGTCTGATNTTGGTGTAGATGTTATTTTGTCAACGAATTTTGTAACCCAACTTTGTACATATAGCAGAACTCTCTCCTTAAATGCACAATCTATTTTAGATACTCGTCCTCGATACTACATTGATTTATTTTAGAACTTGGAAAAGAAGGCAGCCCCACATTGTGTCTCTCATTTCATCATTGGCGATGATGTAGATGACATAATTGTGTTTCATTAAAGTTTACATTGTCTATTGTATTTGGATTTTAACTGATGGGAGTGATTTGAGAATATTAGATCGTAAAGGACCATAAAGATTCATCTTGCTTTCCAGTTTCATGATTGTACAGAGATTCCTCTAATCAAAACTGTGTGGCTTCAATTTCTTCTAGTTAAAATGTATTATGTGTTTTATGGACTTTTGTTTGCACTGTTGGCCCGTGAGTTAAAAGTCAAATTTCTAGTAAATTTTGATAAAAATTAAAGAAATGTGTAATTAAGTAAAAATTGTAAATCTTATAAAATGGGTGATTAAAAATGAACAAAATAATGAATTTTAAAAATGAGGGGTGAAACATGAACTATATTTTATTTCATTTCATTTTAGATTCGTTATAAAAATGAGGGGTGAAACATGAACTATATTTTATTTCATTTCATTTTAGATTCGTTATATTATTATTATTATTATTATTATGACTAAATTAACAGTAACTGTCGTACGATGGGGGCAGGGGGTATAGTGGTATGTGAAAACGCTGGCGGACGCACGGTGGGATCAATTCCAAAAAATTGAGTTTTTTTTCTTGTCTCAATTTGTAAGATGTTAAACGAAATCAAAATATTACATTCTTAATATTATTTCAAAATACTCACAACCTAATTTTTTACGTTGTCAACGGCGTGTGAAACTATCAATTGTAGCAAATATTAAAGCACATCAAAGTAGATTATTTCAAACTAATATTTTGAAAATTTCAATTGTGATGTTAAAACACCGTTTACACCAAGAAACCGGGCTCAGAATACCTCCAATCGAACACCACAAGAGAAAACCCAAAACCCCTCACACTCCAAACGGTTGCTCCACCGTTTTCTACTGCCCACACAGGTTGGTCCAATGGTGAAGAGAGTATTGTAACCACAATCTAGCCACAAAGGCAAA